GCTCTACCTCTGAGCCACAGCCGCCCCAGATTGCACAGATGCAACAAACAAGTTTATATAATACTGTTGAAGTTAGTTGCTCTGGGTGTTGATCATGTCACAGGCAGTAAAAGTCAACCTGTTACACCAGGCTCATCACCTCTGCCTATATTAGTTGTAACAACATCTAACTCACGCTGCTGGCTCCCTGTTGTTCTGGGGGGGTTTTTCAGTGTGGGCCGTTTAGGAGAGGACTCGGGCCGCGGGGCAACTGGCTGGACAGGCCTCGTCTGTTTGGCCGAAAGTCTCTTCAGACTCACATGGCGCTTCTCAAACATCTCCTGGACATCCTCCAGGCGCTTCAGTGCCTTCAGGACACTGGCCTGCAGGCGGAGAGCTCACTATTAAGCCTTGTCCTCCACAACAGAATATCCAGTCATCCTGAAAAACTAGTGCTTTTGTGTGTCATACCTTGATATCCTCAGACAGGACAACCTCATACTGGTTGTGGAGGTTCCTCAGTTCGGTCAGATGGTTCTTTTCTGCCGACTTCAGAAAGTGTTCGATGTCGGTCAGCGCTGTCTCTGCCCCTTCCTGTGACTGACACTTATCCACAGCCTGGGAGGCCAGCAGGTAAATGCCAGACTCACACCACTGGTTTACCTGTGCACAGCAACAACAACAACAAAAAAAAACAGCAAGTGCTCATAAGAAATTCAGTTATGTTTGCCAGTTTTTCTGCCTCATTACAACAGTTTTGGCCATAATTTCTATCAGTCATCATGACACCATGCTCACCAAATTGCTGGATATCATTGCGTCAACAAAGTTTATGCAGGAGATCTAAACAGTGCAGGGAATCCAATGTGTTTCTATCGACGTGTTTAAGTCATATCATATCCTCACCTTATCAATGCCCATGTGTATCTGCAGGGATTTGGACAAGACATCCGTCTTCTTCTTGGCCTCATTGCTGAAGTCGTCATAGACCCGCCGCAGCTCCACACATTTGGGTCGAATGGAGTCCACAGCATAGTGGTTGCTCTGGATCAGCTGATCGCCATGCAGTGCGTGGAGCTGGGCCTTTTCTAGTGTGGGCTGGAAGAAAAACAATTCAGAATATAATAATGCCAATTTAACTTGTAAAAACAAAATCTTCGTGGGGGTCCACAGTCAGCTGTGTCTACTGAGGTAAATATATGTAGATGGCTTACGATTATTGCTTTCTGATCAAAGGTGCCTGTTTAAGAGCCTATACAAAGTAGTGTTGCAGTGGACATTGTAGGATCCTTTTGTATAAGATTTCCATGTAGCTATGTTCCAGCTATGTTAAGTGGTTGTAGATGTTTGATTTAATAACTTTGACCACTGATGAAATGGTCTTGAGTAATATTTTGAGTGTGTGTCTGGTGGGGGGGGGGCTTCCATCTTCGGGGACACATTTCAGACTGAAGCTGTTCTTTTGGGTCAATATGGTTAGGTTTAGGGAAAGCCTCCAGGTAATGAATGTAAGTCTATGTAATGTCACCAAATGTCATTTAAGTAAACATGTGCGTGTCCTGACTTAGGCTACCTTCGGTGACACATTTCAAACTAAAGACCAGTTAACTGGGAAAAACTTGTCTATCTGGGGACAAAAGCCATGTCCCCAGTTTAGGACAGGCTGAGTTCTAGGTCGGTGGTTAGGGTTAGGGTTTGGGATAGGGTACTTCTCCAAAAACTGAACGCAAGTTTATTTGATTTCCCCAAAATTTTCAGACATAAATGTGTGTGTGTTGACTGACCTGAGCCTTCTCCCCCAGTGTTTTCAGTTCCGTTAGCAGCTGTTCAACTCTGGCCACACAATCCCCGATATCTGATAGTCCAGTTAGACTGTCCATCAAACTGTCTAGAGACACTTTAACCTGGAGAACCAAAGAGGGGACAGAGACAAAGACTGAGAAAAGACAGAGAAATTCATTATGTTACCCACTTATTCACAGTGTAATTCTATTTATTTTCTCCTGTTCAGATTCAGCTTCACTTCAGAATATTCAGAACAATGTCAACACTGATTATCTGAAAGCTCTACTGTCTCAAAATCATCTAATTGGCAAAAAAACATATCTGCTAGTTTAGTTTGGGTCAGTATAACACAGTCATTGTATTTACAACTTCCAAACTATTTGTTAAGTGTGTTTTTCAAAGTAAGATTTCACGGCTGAAGTCGTTTGAAGCCGTATGAAGAGAAGCCACAGGCAGGATCCAAAGGTTGTAGGCCAAAGGCAGCCAGGCGGACAGACAGACAGACAGACAGATCTACAGATATACCTCTCTGAAGTCCTGTTCAAAGTGGCGTAGCTGCAGGCACTGCTCCAGTTTCAGATGGTGTTTACACCAGAACTGTTCAAAGGCATTCTCCGTCTCATCCAGCTGGGCAAGGAGCCTGCATTCACACAAAAGGAATTTAATTACACACACACACTGGGGCACACTACTATAGGACTGCATGGCAATAATATAGACTATAGAGATACATTTGTAATACATAATAAAAGACAGCTGTCACCTCTCCACAGTGGTTTGGTTCTCCATCTCGTCCGGGTTGAGTTTGTGATTCTCTGACTTGGCTGCTTGCTCCTTTATACAACCTAACAAGGTGGTGCCCTGCTTCAGAGCCAGCTTCAATTCATCCTGGTTAAGAGACATAGAAAGAACCGAAATAACATTAATATCTAACTAGCTAGCTTGGCCACCCCCGTCGGTCACCTGACCCTCGTCATGCATGTTTTGTGTCTTATAGAGTCTCTCAAAGTAATGCTGCTTTTCCTTTCCAGAGGAAGGACTCGTCTTTAGCTCTTTGACAGGCTGCTTGACATAACAGGAAAAACGTTTTGGCTTTTCTTTTTTCGGATTTTGGTATCGCGTAGTGTTAGCAATGGGACATATGAAAGACATTTTGTGTCCATGTCCTGGTGCTACAGCCATGCTCACACCAGCATTAACCAGGAAAAATGATAGACTTTAATTTATTTTAGCGGAATTGCTGCGACCTGTGGCTCACAGAGTTTCCATTTTGATTACCTTTAACCAGCAAATGTGCTCCATTGATCGAAAGTAAACAATTTTGCCTGTGCTGACCTTCAAGGGAAAAATGATATATACCACTTCCTGGTGTTTACCAAGTAGGTTTTTCATTTGCATCGGCAAACTGGTGCATTTAGGGATAATTTTTTATTGTTACTGGAGCTCCACTTTTTCTCTCTAATCAGTGTGAAAATGTTGTGGTTTTTGCATATGTGTTTGTGTGTTAAATGTACTAAATCACCTTGAGGTTGTTGTGTTTGTCGGTGTGGGCTGTGAGCAGGTCTTTGGTGCACTGGACGTCATTGGGCAGCTCTGTCTCTGCCAGGTCTGTCCCAAACTTCTGTAACATCTGGGCTGTCGTTTTCACCGTCATGGCAAAGTTCTCTATGGCCTATAAGGAAAAAGATTGACACATGACTGCTGCATCCTACAATGCAACTGACCACACTGCCACTGCAAGTACAACTAGTTCTACTTGCCTTAATACACTAGTATTAGGGTTAAGATTTACAGTAATTAGTAGTGTATGTTAACTTACAGTTCGGTGATGTATCCACTGACTGTGACAGTATTCCAGGCTTCCTCCTAGCTCCCGGGTCAGCTCACCTTTATCCACATAGCCGTGCAGGTCCGACAGTGAGTTCAGCATCACAATCTGCAAACACATTCAATGCATCATTACAAGTGCTTTGGATCATTATCATAGAAAGCTGACCCTAATTGAGAGGAACATCGTTGTCTCTTTAAAAATTTCTACTGAACGTGCTTCTTTAACATGTAGCCGAAGGCCATTCCAAAGATGAAGGGCACGGTAGGTAAATGCTCTGTAACCAACTGATTTTTTTGGGTAGGAATGACCAGGAGACCAGCTTTGAGAGAGCAAAGAGGGCATGCTGGACTGTATGGGATAATTACCTCTGATTAGTAATGGTGCAAGTCCATGCAGGGCCTTATAAATCAAAGGAAGAACCTTATAAGCAGCTCTAGCTTGCACCGATAGCCAGTGAAAAAAGGCTAGGATGGATTTTATATGATCGTTTTGTCAGGATTCTAGCTGTAGCACTCTGAACAAGCTGAAGAGAGAGATTCCAACAAAAGATGCTAGTGAGTTGCATTATGGGAAGGTAGGATCAAGTGTTCTTGCAGTCTCATACAAGGGGTTAAAAGTCACTAGAGTACCAGGTTAGAACCAATACATTTTAAACTCACTAAAAACAAAACAACAACCATTCTATATCTAACCTATATATCCTTACAGTTTAAGCCAACTCTATTTAAACATATTCTAACAAAGAATCCAAAGGTTGAAATTTAGGGTCCTTTTTGCCCTTGGAATATTTTTTCCCCTTTTAGAGCTTTGGGTGTTTTTGGATTAATATAAAGTCTCAGAAAATCTGAATACACAGTTTGCTCGTCATTTAGTGTAAGCTCTCTTTCTTTGTTGCTACTGTCAGTGTGAGAGGAAATACAAACATAAAAGTGGTTTACACTTGCAGTGCACTACTTTGGGTTTGGCAGAGGTGTGAGATTAGATGGGGTGGGCTGATTGGGCAGTTCCTGTTATTAACAAAACCAAGTTTATGTCTCTATTTTTCTTTTTGTTCCATTTGTTGGTTTGTTCTGGCAACCTCAGGGAAGTTTAAATTCAAGTTTGATGTGCACATAAGCGCAGGAATTTCTGTGCTGATTTTACAACAGTCTTGTTGTTACACAAAACTTCAGCGGATCTGTGAGCAGAGCTTTCAACCTGCTTTGAGGAGACAGGCAGCGGATTGCCCTTCAGTATGGTACAGATAGTGTGATTTTATTTTTTTGGTTCTTCTTAACCAGCTTGAGAAAAGGTTTAAGTTATTATTATTATTATTATTCTTTATTGATCCCTGTCACTGATCCCAAAACACATTTGTAAAATTTCTCCAAGAAAGCCCAAATATAACCCTGTTGTCTACAGTAGATGTTCACTGTGTGCTATAAATGAGGGCATGTTGAAAACCTGGTTGCAGGTCACAGAATCATCTAAAAGCGGCATTGAGCCAGGTGCCACTGCCCCTAGGGATTGAGGTTGTGAAAATAACATATTTTATATATACCTTGAATACTGTACCTCCTCAGGGACACAATGAGGATTTTGATATAAGACCTTCTTTGTGATGTCCAAACTTCCTTATACTCCTCTGTGTGAGCTGTTGATGATTGGCTATACACTGGGTTACTTGTGTTCTGATGCTTGTTGATGCTTATGATTTATTGCATTGTTACGCTGCTTTTTTGAATAATGGTTTGTAATTATAAATGTATTTCCCAGAGTTATATCATATGTTCAAGTGAGATGGATTCATTATAACACTACTGTATATTGACTGTAGAGGTTATATGGTTGGTACTGAAGCATGCTTACCGGTACCTTCATTTTAAAATCATCCTTGTGCAGCTTGATCCCAATATCTGCTATAGCCCTCTGGAAGAACCTGGACGGCCTCAGCACCAACACCAGCTGCAAGTTTCCTGGGAATGCCCCCTAGATGACACAACAACATGTGAACTTCACATGCTTTTTGTTCAGGCTACACCACAGGCAGTGGACAAGTGCTGGGACTGTATGACATCTGTGAATGCATATCTGTAAATCTGACAGTGACAGGCCTGAGTTCATTTTAGCACCACATGTCTGTGAGCTAGTTAGCAGATGAGTCATAAGATATGAATAGCCACACTCCAGATATATACTGTGCATCCTGCTGCTTGTCATTAAAAAGCACATGAACTGAGAGTCACTGAAGTAACTGTGGCACGACATAAACTGCCACAGTGACTCGTTTTTAAAAGGGTTACGTCTACATGCTTGTTAGTGGAGCAACCTGGCCTTAGACATTGCAAAACAGCAGAAATATGCAATGTTAGCAAACCTGGTATATTCAGCAGAACGCAGCACAAATAAGAGGAATGTTGCGACTGGCTACCACTGTCCAGAGTATCCAGAACTAATTAAGTTTTTTTTGTTTTCACAGTTTTTTGTTTGCTCAAATGTGTTCTCTAAGCTTGTGAAATACAAGTTTTACCTCTTTAGACCACTTAACTAGTTCACTTTATCACATGAAATAATCTGAAATGTATTTGATTGAACTGCTCACTACTCATTAATATGCAATCTGTTATTAGGGCTCACGAGTATGTCTTTGTGGTAAGGGTTAGGAAGGAAATTGTTAGTAAACCACTCATCTGGAGGACTTTCATTTTCCATAGACTGGCCCCTTGGGGACACAAATACATGTTACAACACTGAGCTTTGGTACAGTCTTCTCCACAGAGCAGGGGAAAGACTAGTTCAGGCCAAAAAAACCCCAAACAAACAAAAATCAAAATCACAAAATGATATATAATATTTAGTTTAGGATATATATTATTCCTTAGTGTCATATAAAATAGGCTATTAAACTATGAATAACGCATAGTCTTTAGTACAGATACTGTACAAATATTACCCACTTGCACAACAAAAACAACAAATAATAAGTAATATGTGTGCAAAAGGTTATTAAAGTCCTTTTGTATAAAGCTTACTCTACTTTAACACATATGGTGCAAAGGCAAGATAAACAAAGAGAAGTCTAGACTGAAAAGTCAATTTTAGAGCATAATCAGTCTTATAATACAGGGTCCCTTATTGATACCTGCTTTTAACATGCTAGTGCACATAGAAGATACATAAATACTGTATTTAGCTCTAAAGGCAGGATTAAATACACATTCAACAATGACTTCTGTTGGGGGTTTGTTTGGAAACACTTGATTAGATATAAATATCTTTATCTATATAGTTTTACTTATTTATATGGTTGGTGAATATTATATATTATTGTCGTATAGAACTTACTGCAATCCTGGATAGAGAGGCTTTCACTGAGCTCCATTTGTCCTTCCGTCGGTCGATGATGATGATGAAGCCGATGCTGGCGGCATCCAGGCTGGAGATAGGAGGTATAAAAGACATGTAGCTGGACTGCTGCTTTGTGCATGTATGTGGCTGTGGAAGCCGTGCAAATCGAAATCCCTAAAACTGGATGATTACTGCTCCTGTACATGCACAGCTCAGCTGAAGAGCAGGATATCTTGCACATTTTAAGGAATAATACACCAATATATTTACACTGTGGAACTACATTCTGTTCGAATCTTTGGGCAATGTCATCCATCTTTTAAGGCAATATTTTTATGTATTTAGTATATGCTACCGTGTGTATTTAATAATCTGTGCAATTATTTCTGTATGTTCTGTATACATGAAAGATGTATGTGTTTGTAACTTTACTTTTCTATTTCTTTTCTATCTTCCATTTTACTATTTTGATGTATGTGTATTTTCTTATCTATCACTGTTTTCATGGTGTGTTGTGTTGTGTCTTCAGCTGCTGTAACAAGCCAATGTCCTGGGTGTGGGATCAATAAAGTCTATCTTATCTCTCTTATCTTAATAGGTTCATTACTATGTGGTCATTTCCGAAAACATCAAATATCACAGTCTATCTGGAGGATGTGAAGTAGTGATGTGTGTTAGCCAAGTTTAGCCCTAAACCTAAAACACAGCCTTAAAAAACTGTTTTGTATAATATAATCCTGTCAGTGATGGCAACTTTAACATACATGAGGATCGCTGCTAATATTTTAGTTTATCTGCATAAACTGGCTCCATGCGAACACTTTAGCATAGCTTGCATTCGTTGATTGATGGTATGCTACATGCTGAATACCATATCCAGGGAACAAAGGGATTTTTCTTTGGTGACAGTGAACATAATAATTGTTAATACATTGTTTTTTTACCATTGTTGGTATTAATTCTGCCAATCTCTTACTGAGCACAGCCATTTAAAACAACTTGTAATTTAGCTGGAGCTGCGACAGGCTCATCGTACTATCCAGCCCATATTCTCATTAATTTAGGTTAACTGGCTCCATGCTCAACTAAATTGTGTTAATTGAATTGACAGTTTATTTGGAAATATGTGGCACTACAACACAAAATCAACCAATGAGCGCCTAAAAGCCCTTTCTTTATTTCAGTTTTACTGTGTTTGTGTTTCTATGTTGTGTATTTCTAAATTACTGTGGGTTTCCAGGGTCACGTAGTGTTTCAGTGCAGACAAACTATACGTTACACAGAGAAAAGGAAGAAAAAAAGGAGCGAGTGTGTAGGATTTAGTGGCATCTAGCACGGAAGATTGCAAAAATGGAATTCTGCTCCCCTTCAAAGCATGAAGGGGGCTATGAAACGCACAAAAAAAAGCAAAAGGCCCTATCTACAGCCAAGGTTTGTCCATTCAGGGCTACTGTAGAAACATGGCAGTTCAACTTGGCAGACTCCATGGAATGCGACCTGTGGCTCATTCTAAGGTAACAAAAACACAATTCCTAATTACTGGTGATTATACACTGATGAAAACATACCTATGAGTATTATTCTGTATATTATATTATACATTCCTGCCAAGAAAATCATCTTAAATGCTAGATACTGGAATTTTAAAAAAAGGGGCCCAGCAGCTAATTTCTGCCCAGGGCCCTGTAGCGCGTTAATCTGGCTATGGCACTGCAGTACTTGATCTTATATGGCTTAGATATTAGTCCCCTCTGTTAAGCTGTAATGAGATTATTAGAAATGATCCCATCAGTGTAAATGGAATAGAAACCACTGCATCCTGAGCTATAGCTACCATGTTGAGCCATTAGAGTAAATTACATTAAAACTTGTTCAGTGTGACTCTGTTATGTTGTATTCGTGATGTACAGTAAGCACAGTGAGGTCTTGTTTTGGCTAATGGGTGCCTCAAGGAGTGAGAGTCTAATTATGTGAGGGTACCACATTGAAAATGAAGTTGTATAAGAGTGTGTTTACCTGGGGATGCTGGTCAGGTAAGTAACAACATTGAGGAAGTCTTCCTCTGGCACTTCGCTGAAGCCTGAGTAGTCTGGGAAGGTGATGATGGGGGCGCCATCTTTTCCTCGCCCTCCTGCAACACAAAAACGCTTACTTACTTACTATCCTTCCTTCTAGCATAAACTCACCCTTAACTTACTGTGTCAACTTACACTGCCTTGCAGCTTGTTCCAACCCTTAGTTTAAGCTATATGATGTCTATATGTTTATAGAAGAGGTCTTGTCGTGCTTCATTTATACACATTTCCCACAAATTCTGATTCTAATCTATGGTAATGTTTGAAACTGTGGGATCTGCATTAGAATTTCAAATAGTTAATTGACTGATTGACTTTTAGAAAAGTTACAGAAATTTGAACATCTACCTCAAAAGTAAACGAGGAACCAAACCTCTTTATAAACAATATTTAAAGCCAGGAAGTAGGAACAGAAACAAGGAAGGAAAACTCTTGAAACTTCTAAAGACACAAATGTTCCCATCTAACACTTGTGCTTCCTCAAAAAAGTCACAAGATGGTGACCTTGAGCTAGAAATCCTGTGCTGCCACAGATCAAATATACTCTGTTACTTCTGGAGAGCATGTGTGTCATTTTAAATTCATTTTGACATAAAAACAAACCTTTTTTTGTCTGACGAACACACGTTTCACACATTTAATTGTCTCTGCTCTGTCACCTGCAATCTCACCAATTATCTTTCAGCCGCACACATCCATCTACCAGACATGCTGCAGGAGGAGTGGAATGTGTGCGTCATCTCACATATAAGGCCTCTGTATGAAAGCATTGCAGTGTCATACTGACCTAGTTGCAAGGTGATTGGAATATATATTACAGGCTCTATGAGACCAGGTACCAGGGCTTTTATTTGCCTCAGTAGCAGAGGCATGCTGGTATTAGATAAATATTTCTGATCATATTAGTAAGAAACCTTATTTTGTTCTGATCTGCTGCCATTTGCCTCATTAATATGTCTCAAACACCAGCTTTTTAAGACCCTAATTTGTTAGCATATTGGTGACATATTCCTAAAAAAGTAGAGTTCAATCAAATGAGCACAAATTGCAACTCAAAATGAATGCTAATGTCAGTCACTGAGTAAACTGACTAAGTGACTAAGTAATATTGTATGGATATTTCATATTATA